CAATCACAAAACATGAGCTTGTCCAGCTCACATGATGCATAGCCCACAAGTATCCCAGGAAAAATGGGAGATTCTGTTTTCTCCCACAAGAGAACGGGGGCCATTTTGGGTGCTGTGATCTCTGCGCAGCGATGTTGACCAGGAACTGCAGGCTGAGTGGGGACAAGGGAGGTGACAAACTCCTGCTCATTATGCAATTTAGCATATTTTACATACAAATCATCACCACTTGGTGGCCATTGCACCAGTGCAAGTATATCCAACCTGGTGCTCTTCAAAGGTTGAGCTACAATTCCCATCAACCCTGACCATTGGCCATATCAACTGGGTGTGATGTAAATTGAAGTTCGAGATCTGGAGGGTATCACATTAGCTACACCTACATGGTATATAACATGGTTGATTCATGCTGATAGCCTAATGAGCTATTAAGGTGTACAAAAATTATCTAAAAACATGAAATAATCCACCCACCCAGTGCAAGAATAAACATCCAACAGTCACCAGAAGCGAGGCCAATCCAAATGCTTGGGAAAACAAATACCTCTTTGTTGCACTGGAAAGATAGCAACGTTGGAGCAAGACAAGCTTCCCTCATGCGTGTATATGAAGGCAGTTGAACAGAGCAAGAAACAAACATGACAAATTAGATAGCTCAAATCTAAAATATTGCTTAGAGTTGTGCCTACATACACATACACATGAAAATGATTATTTCCCAGCAGTTATTTTCAAACACAATACCACTCTTACATTTATTTTAAGGGATACATTTTATTTCTCCTTCACAAGGTCATTCTCCATTCGGCAGAAGACAAACTGTTACAACAAAACTGATGTACAACCTCTAGAGAATAGATCCCCTGCTGATTTAGAGATTAATACTTATTTCTAAAGGCTACGATAAAGGTGAAAAGGACTCAAAAGATGTTCCTGGTACAAAATGATATTCTATATAAAGATATGAAGAACTTTCAGTGATCCATTTAAAGCATGAAATAGCCATAAAAAAACCTTCCCCATAGTGTTTTCATAAGCTAGCCTCTTCATATTGATGAATCCATTTTTCTGACATATCGAAGGGCCTGTTTGAAATTTATGTGGGACTGATGACTGAAGAGAAGTACGCTCACCCTTTCTGGTGTGGCACCTTTGTGGGCTGGCACTGCCTTGCGCAGCGTGATCCAGCAACAATGGCCTGTTTGGGAACATTCCCAAGTCAGCAGGTAGGCTTAGCAGCCTGCATCTTTGCCTGGTGTTTGTGGATCCAAGCCAGCCCACATATTGGCCAATTGTGGGCAGGCTATGGGGCTGGCCAGGGGTGAGCCCAATGGAGTTTCTGGACTTTGCTTGAGTCCACTCCCAGGAAATAAAAGAAGGCCTTTCTTTGATCTTTGCATTTATTTCATTATCGGATCTTCAGAGAAGATGACCATGGCCTAAGAGGCTGAAGCAGGGAGCTGAAGATCCTGGGAGAACAAGAAAAGGGAATCATGCTTGCACAAACTTCCTTATGTGTAGGGCGCTGGATGGGTGGTGCCAGCAACATCCGGGAATCCTGGACAGAAGAAAGCCAAGAATGTTCAAGCTGCTTAGTGATATTTGGGCAGACAATTGTAACATGCCACAGTACAGTAGCCTCATCACCATCTTCTTCGCATTCAAGGCACAAGGAAGAATGCTATGGTGGAAACAGCATATTGAATGCAGATGCATGCAATGAAGTTCTAATATGTGTAATATTTAAAAATCTTTGAGCTGTATGCAAAAATACAATACGAAACCTATAAAATAGTATCACTAAAATGGTTAAAACACAGTAACCACAAAACTACTAAGTTGTATTATATAAACATAAGATAAAAAAAAAAGAATTCAGTAGTAACAAGGTCCAATTTTATTAATCAAAGCCTGGGCAAAAGGATACTTGTTTGCAAGACATCTGAAGCAACTGATGAATGATGCTTCACATATGGCAGAGGTATCAGCATCTCACAGTGCAGGGACAATGGTGGAAATTGCCCATTTGGGGGTCTCTGCTGTGTGATATTCCGTAGGGTGCAATTTCATGAGTGTCCCCCCCCCCAGATTATCAGATTTGTCTTAGATGCCTCTACAACGGCAGGCAATCTTTCAGGTAACCTAGTCCAGCTAGGAAAAGCAGCTTCTGTCAATCAAAATTGCAGCCTTCTAAAGTTGTTGTTTATTTAAAGCAATGAGGCTTTGTTACATATATTTTCATGTGAGATGTGACATGAAGTTTGTCTCTGTAATGATGAGCAAGTATACAGTACATGCGCTTCATAGTTTTATAGGCTCAAAGATATATGAAGGCTCCATGGTGGGTTAACAACTTCCTTTTCAGGCTTTCCTTTTGCTTTTCCATCTTTTTTACGTGTCACCTGTATGGCTCTAAAAACACAGCAGATGTAAATGAGCTACGCTACATCATTTTCTGTGCTTAAAAGGGTGTAGTAGCATCTACCTTGTCGTGACTCCCTGCAGCAGCACATTCTCCATGGTAATTACCAAAACGCTGCCTGGAAAAACTCCCTGTCCTAGTTTCTGCACATTCTCATTCCAGGTGTCTGAGGATAGAGGATGGCAGAGGAACTTACCATACAAGTGGAAGACTGGAAAGCCAGCACCAGGGTAAACTCTGGAACTGCTGTCCTGCATTGTAAACGGTGTTGGCCAGTGCTAACATGTACCTGTTTGAAGAATAGTTTCATATGCATGGCAATGTGACATGAACCAGATTGCGGTGACTGAGTTGATGAAGTTTACTTTGGATCTCTGCTTGAAGGAGATAATGATAACAATGGCATTTGTGTTTAGTTAAAACATTTGAGAAAAGAATTAATACTTCAACTTTGCTGTTTCTGTGGATTTGTGGATGCAGGTATTGTCACGGAGTCAAGTTATCTTTCATTTTCATATCTCTAACTTTTCTTTCTCGTAGATCATTTTGCATTTGGTAATCTCTTCACCATCTTGCTGCTCACATTTGAGTGCTATATATATTTGCCCCCTCCCTTTCACAACTAAAGTGTTATTCTACTAATTTCTGTCTGCCACCATGACTAATTCTTTTACTATGGAATTATACTATATATCTTATCTTAATCTACTTTAGCATAATCCCTCAAGGACCAAACCATCCCTTTAAAAAACCACACATTTTGGAAGAACTGAGGTGACAGATGGTTGGGGGGATTATGCCAGAAATATAACTTTAATAACAATATTATCAATCACTGTCAAATAGCAGACTAAATTTTGTTGCATGATAAAAAGAAGGCAGACCATACAATGGCCTCTATAAATTATTATTTTGATAAGTGAAATCTAAAAAACTAGAGTTTCCACCCTTTACATGCCTACAGATTCTGCACAGTGTGCACCCAAAAAAATATTTCAGTACATTATAGATCTTTTTCAGTCATTTTGAGCCTTCAAGCCTAATTTGGCAAAAGGTGTAAAATGAATAGCCTGAACTGAATAGTATGCATTTGGACTATTTTACTATTTTTATTTTTATTATTATTATTATTATTATTATTATTATTATTATTATTTGTTGTTGTTGTTGAAAACTACTCATGACAAGTGTGGCTTCTCATTTTATTAACATCAAAAGTCTATTTCATTAAAACAACCCATAGACACATCATATATATGGACAGTAGCAATTTTTGATGAGAAGCATTTGTTTTAGACACCACCATCATAGATATTACTGCTGGCAATATACTATCATTGTTTGTACGCAATGGCTCACTTGCCATGTTTATCCATGCAAATGTATACCCATGGGAGGCTAGGACTGATGACAGATGAAAAATGTACAGTATTTGCTACGTTAGGTTCATTCATTTCTAAAGTCTGCTTTGAGTAAAACTTGGTTGAATACCACCCAATGTCTCTGAACCTAATCCCATACCTGAGTAGGTAAATGGGGAGCAAAAGCAGTTAGGCAGGTGGAAAGACTACTATTTGGTCAGTTGAACAATTTATATTTCGCTTCATATATTCCTTTATATGTGCAGTGGTCAGTAGACAGGGGGAAATCCAGAAACCCTTGCCTGTGTCCCACTGCATGGAAGGGATTACAGTGATCCATAGTGGCACAGGCCAATCATGGATGTTATAGAAGAAATGACTAGTTGAAGAAGCAGCTCAATAACCTTTGTTAAACAACAACAATTTGAAACAAGTGAAACTGCCCTGTTTGGTTTCATTGAGTACATATGGCCTACTTGTTTATCTATCTTCTTTATTCTCATGATGTTAGCAATTTAACATGTTGCCATGATTGAGGACCATGCTTTATGATCCAGTTATAGCGGCAATCCATGAGGGGGATGGGGGATAAACAACAGTGTCATACTGTATATTTTAGCCAGCTAATAAAGCAAAAAGGGGAGAATGCACAGTAAAATATGACTATCATTCTGTTTTATGCACAGTTGACTAAACTCTTTTAAATCACAAGTCAAAACTCTAGAATGAAAAGTGGTGTTAAACAGTTATGTTCACTCTGACGGGTTAGAAAAATGTCACCACTTTATCGCTATGTAGTGGCATAACCTCTTAAACTAGTGATGAATTGATGAAGTGTATATATGATAATTCTGACTTTCTTGATATGTTCCTTTCTCTACTAATCTATGGGAAACAACTGCCCATGTTCAACCCAAGCAGCTTAACTCACAAGGCCGTAATAAAATATGTGTAACATCCAACTGTTATGATTATCTTGCCCCAACTCTACCCTTCATTGAATTAGTACTTTTGGATCTGGTGTTGAAACTTCCACAGGTACAAGTTTGTGAGGCCAACAGCTAAAAATCCCCCAAGGATTAGATTCTGCCACATAATAATTGTTAACAATTAATAATTCTTAACTGATACTGTGCCCCAAGAGTTATCTGGTTCTGGTACCAGGGTCACCTTAAGAGAATGAAATCAAGGTAGTAGCCAAAGGAAGAAGTACTTCACCCTTATCAATAGCTCAGTTGGTTAAAACATGGTGCTGATAATGCCAAGGTTGCAGGTTCAACCTCTGTATAGGACAGCTGCATATTCCTGCATTGTAGGGGGTTGGACAAGATGATCTTCAGGGTCCCTTCCAATTCTATGATTCTATGAATGGGCAGCTTCAATTATGTTCTTACAGACTGGACAGGGGCGGAGGAAGGGGGTGCGGTGGGTGTGGTCTGCCCCAGGTGTCACTACTGAGGGGAGTGACAAAATGCTGGATGGCACTCACTGCGGGGCCTGAGAGAGATGCAGTGGCTTGGGCGTATGCAGGCTCCACACTGCCCAAACTGTTCACCCACTGCTTCCCGCCCCCAGCTGTAGGGCGGCTGAGTGGGAGGAGGCAGGCAGATTCCAGAGGTCCCACAGTGCGCCCTGCCCCATGGGTGGCTCACCCCACCCCTGGGCACATCGCCCCAGGCGCCGGGTGGCTTCCTCAGCTCCTGAGACTAGATACATGCATGTTCCAGTCATGTCAATAATTTCTAGATACCCTAAATGTCTATGTTCTTGAACAGTAGGCCATAAAACCATCTAGAGGGCAGCAACCCTGGACTTAATTTTAAGGTGTAAGTGTTGCTGAACTGACTGGGACAGGAACCACAATGCTATCAAATTCAACATGTATGCATCTTTTGTGGTCAATCAGGAAATTGTTATGGGGGCATACAAATAAAAATCCAAAGCTTCATTTCTACCTGAATGAAGGGAATAGGATGACATTTGCTGCTTTGCTCAAAAATTCATTGCAAATGGTGAAAGATAATTGATATGTAAGATGTGAAATTAAATGGATCTGCATTTAATTATGTTATCTTGCAAAATTTCCTCCAGCGTGAAAATCCCTTTCCAGAGCAATGGAGAGGCTTAAGATAGAAAAGAATCACGCAAATTGTATAAAATAAATGATTTAGCCACAAAAAGAAAACCAGCAGGAAGGCTACTAGCATCCCAGTAGGCTGCCCATTACACTAATACGGGCATCATTCAGAAAGCTGAAATAAAGGACGGAATTGCTTTCTGTAGATTGGACCGCAGTGCTACACACAGAGCATGTAATTAATACAGTGATGACAGAGTGTAAGCATTTTTGCACCATAATGATCAAAGTTTTTTTTCTTCTTCTTCTAGAGAAATTAATAAAAGAACTAAGGAGGTGCTTCTAAAATTAGTCTTGCAAATAACTGCAATTTAAATCTACTTCTAGTAAATATGAATACAAATGGTGGTTTGTTCAGATAGGATATGCGGCTTGATACAAGAGACAAATTTGTGCTATAATTAGGAGCATAAAAATGGTCTGTTTGCAAGAGAGACACAAACATGTGTGCAACATCACACTCACAACGCCCCCTTCCCCAATGTTGGCCACAACTTGGCACCTCTGGTTGTTTTGATAAATAGCAGTCCCTCCCCTGAAGTGCTCTTCCGTTGCCCCTTGCCCCAAAGATCAGATCTAGAAGTGTAGCTGGTGGTAATGTCTAAGCCAGGAGGGCAAGGCAGTTTCAACATATAGTTCTTCCTACAGAAATCTGACATGACGGCAGTTAGAATTGTTTCAGGAGATTAAGATTGGCTCTGTAAATGAATCAAAATTTCCAAGCATTTACTGAGAATATCAACTGTATGAGCATATTAACCAAACCCATCCATGTAAATATATTAATCTACTCTAAGCCCGAGGTCTAAATTATATTGTAAATAATCAGCTGATTATTTTTCTTGCACATGTATATTTATTGTGCAAACGTCATCCTCATAGTGACCCAAAACACAGATAAGCTCCCTTTGTTATGTAGAGAGGAATATTGTATTCATTGTTGCTGTTCATATTTAAATATGCTCTTCACATCTCAAGCAAAAAAAATTGCTCAGATTTCGAACATTTCTAATGGAACGCTTTATAAGTGAAGCACAGTTTCCCTCAGGGTATTATAACACTTTTTCATTTAATTAAATTGATTAAATTAAAGCAAATGGCGGTCTACCCCAAGGGCAGAATATATTTAATTTATGAAGCAGGCTACCATTCACACTGCTGCATCGCATGTACAGCACATTATTTCTTAAACAGAATGTTCCACTTTCTAAAACATCTCATTTGTTATGCCAAATTTAAAGTGAGTCTGAGCATCTGAGGTATTTTCCATTATTATTTTTTCCAGAAACTTACCTCACACATATACTCTGCCAATTAACAGAAAAAGAAACAGCAATGAGCACAGTGGTATTTTATTAAAACAACAACACATTGTACATATTAAAATTTATTGACTATAAACCTATATAGATTCAGATATTCTGCTGAGCGCTGTGATCTACAGGAAGGCAGAACAGATGTTCTTTTTTCGGGTCTTGCCTTTGGCAGGAAGCAAGTAGGGAGCTTCACCTAAATGCCACCACATGTTAAACATAGGAAGCTACCTTATACCAAGTCAGACCATTGGTCTATCTAGCTCAAAGTTGTTTTAAATGACTGACAGCAGCTCTCCAGGATGTCAGAGAGGAGTATTTCCCAGCCCTGCCTGGAGATGCCAGGGACTGAATCTGGAACCTTGTGCATGCAAAAACAGATGCTCCATCCTTGAGCTGCAGTTCTTCCCCAAGCAAGTGTGAGTGATTCACGGAACAGTGCAAGATAGCCCTACTCTTGACACTTCCATGCCTGTGAGCCATGCCCTCTGTTGTCAACACACACAATTGTCATGCCTCCTCTGGCTGCACATACACTGCATGAAACAAGAGGCCCACTATGCATTGAGATTTGGGGCACCACCATCACCATGCACCAAAAGCAGAGCCCCGATTTCCAGAAGGTGTGTCTGAATGCTCCTTTTCTCACTCTCAGTAAGGCTGGCCCTGTCTGCCCCCTGCCATGCTGACTTCCTGGGCTCCATATAAGTGATGCAACTGTGGCTTGTGTTTCAAGACTCTCATTGCATACCAGGTGTGTTGGTACTGAGTCACCAGCACCACCCTGGTAGTCGCAGCCCTTCCTTCTGCTTCTTCCCATCCCACACTTATAACCCTCCCCAGAAAAGGCATGGGGAACTTGTGAGTCCTCTTACCACACTGCTGAGCATGCTAGCCTTGTTGGCTGACCTTTACGAACTTCCAGCCCACAAGGTGGGCTAACAGCACCACCAGACAGACTATGCGTCATGCACAGTAAGGGAAACGGTCAGTGCCATTTCAGTGACCCTGTTTCCACGGTTGTTTTTCCTGCTCTTCCTTGTGTGCAGCTCAGAGCACGGCAGGTTGGCCTTGCTATTAGCCTGCCTCTGCTGTATGTAGAGGCCTTCAGGCTTTGGAGACTGCTAGCATACACTCAAACATCCTAATGGACAAAATTGGGATGCTCGTTTTTTGGTCCCGAGCACTCACAGAAGTTAGCTGATTTGCGCAAGAGTGCAAGACCAAAGAAACAGTGTCTTTTGGTCCAGCATTCTGGCACAAGATAGCAGAAACATGCCAGAGTGCCAGACATTCTGAGATCCAATCAGAAGCCGGGATGGTTTCTGTAATTTCAGGATGTCCCTCTTAAAATGGGATGGTTGAGGGGTATGTGCTAGTTCCCTTGCAGGGTTGAGGCCTTCTTTTTAGTACCCTTAGAATAGAAGCTTGCTGTCTCCAATGTCAGGCTGCTTCCCTTGTGAGTGAGCAGTGTGGGTGGAGAGAAAAGAAACCTATTAATTATCTGGCTACAAGCTAGTCATAATAGAGGCAAACATCTGCCATGTTGAAGTGCTTAGAAAAAGCTGGCAAATAACAGACTATGAGCCCTGCTTACATACTCAAAAGGCACAGCTGGGACTTGGTGTTATCAAACTAATGGTCCCAGACTGAAGAGGTGTTAAATTATATCTCTTCAATTGGCTGAGCAACAAAATGTATGTGAATGGGCCAAATTCTCTCATTAACCTCAGACTCAGCCACCCTGGTTGCACTGCAGTTGTGAGTGGAGCTAGTCAGTTGCCTGCATACTCCATTTAGCAGTGCTAAAGGACTCTGGTATGGAAGCAGCTTAAATTGCTTACCCAAAGCACACATACACCAGTGCCACAGAGAAAACTTTAGGGAACCATCTGTTACTGAGAAAGCATGGGTCAAAAAGAAACTCTGGCTCATGACTAAAGTAGTCCAGAATGTCTGTTTTGAGAACAAAATGTTTCCCCCCTGTTTAGACTGTGTGAGAAACAGAAATGCTGACAAGGCCTTAGTTGATGCACCAGTGTGATAAAGGTAGAATATTTATTACTTCATGTGGTTGCCAGCACAGGGAGACCTTTGTGAGTGTCCCTGTACTGCCCAAAAGACTTGGGATTATCCTGTAGTCATGTCTCGGCTCTTCCATGAATCCATAGAAGCTGTAAAGGTAAATATAATAGTTTTTGTTTCCGCTTTCCTTAATATTTAGGATGTGTTGCTATTTAGCTAAAATATAGCAAAGCTCTTAATTAGTTTGGATTGGTGAATGTTTTAGGGGACAAATAATAGTACAGTTGCATAATAGTTTAAAATTAGTATAAGTTTTTCACGCCCCTGATTTTTTAAAAGAAGTTAAGTTGCAGATTGTTTTTCCACATCATCATTAGTTGTATATACCATATCTTATTTCTTTCTTCCCCAAGATTCATTGATGTATAATGTATTTAAAATAAATCTTTCCCAACAGGTTTTAGACTTTCAGGTTCTGTTTGGTCACTATCTTGTTGCCAAATTAAGAATTGCATTTTCACCATCAATAGCTTTTTAAAAACCAGACCTATTATGTCACTCCTCATTCTCAACTCAGATCTGTTTGTGTAAGTACTCAACAGACTATACCAATGATGGGGTACTTGTGGTCCACCAACTGCTGTTTGACTTCAACTCTCATCATGCATGACTACTGGCTGGTGCTGATGGGATGGTCCAAAATCTAGAGAATTGCAAGTTTGCAGTTTCTCCACTGTGCATTAAGTACAGAAACAGAATCAAGTGGAAGCCCTGGAAGCAAAGGGTCAATGATCAATGTGAAGATACAGAATTGAACAT